TAGGGCGTGGAGGGCGCGAGGTAGGCTAGGCTAGGCAAGGATTCTAAACCTACTCGTGATACCATCTTAGAAAGTGAATGCAACGGAATGTTTGACTTAGGAGAGCAAGGCATACAAATAGAAACCCTAAGAGTGTTGTACTCCTTAGAGTGCTACTCACTGCAGCCTACAACCAATAACAACATTTGACACTCTCTTTTGCAGTTCGTGCAATTCTCATTCTTTCGGCCCCTTACACTTCGAACACTTTCCAAGAAAAATAAAGAAGATAAATAAAGCAACTTGTCTACGGAACCAGATGGGAAAACAGGAAATCAGATTGACAGAATTTAGTCTGGTATAGACGTCACTGTTGCAATCCCCAAATTCGAGAGTATATTGCTATACAGTCCTAGAAACGCCTAACAAGCCATACGGAGAATCCCTTATAAAGCACCCCATTACAGAACAGGAGCTTGCTCCCTCTTCTCATCCATGTCCCACCATTGCTCGGCATGCCCGAAACCCTTGCAAACCCCCTTGTAAACCCCATTACCACACAAACACCCCTTCTAGAGCACCATTTCAGGCAGCAGCAGCTGCTGCTCGCGCTCCTCCTCCTCGTCCTCCTCGTCCATCTGCCTCAGCTCCGCAATCCTCTCCCTCCAGATCCCCTCCACCACCCGCCACGTCTCATCGCTCACTGCCTGCACCTGCTGCGGCCTGGGCGCCCCGTGAATGCCCCACCTGCCCTGGTGCACTGGCACTGAGTACTCGTCTATCGGCCGCATTGGGGGCTGTTATTTGGAGGGAAAAGAGAGGGGGGATGAGAGGAGATGTAGGTGTATAAGGGGAACGGGGGGAGGTGGACAAAGTACTATAATCTCACACACGCACACACACGCACGCATATACACCTTTACTGTATACCATACAGCACACGCACATAGAACTCTCCTACACATACCTGCGGGAACTTGGGAGCAGCATCATAGATGCTGTGGATGGCATGGCATGGCATGGCATGGCATGAATACACACCTGGCATGGCACAATTCCCTCCCCCCCCAAACACACACCTGCAGGAACTTGGGAGCAGTAACATAGATGCTATGGATGGCATGGCATGGCATGAGTACATTGCATGCACACTTTTCCTACCCCGCCTTCTCAACACACCCCCACACGCACACTGTGACACACCTGCGGGACCTTGGGAGCAACATCATAGATGGTGTGGATGGCGTCTCCTGTCACCTAGCCCTCCTCCCCCTCCCATCCATACAAACAAACACCAGTGCACCCATCCCCCCCTTGTCCCCCCCTCTCCCCCACATACACAACTGCGGGAACTTGGGAGCAGCATCGATGTTGTGGATGGCGTGAAGGTATGCACGCACCCCCCCGTCACCCCCAACACACCCACATACGAACCTGTATTGCAAACCAAAACCCTAGATTTGCACACCTGCGAAAACTTCGGATCAGCCAGGGCAACCGGAGCCGGAGCAGAAAGCGGTGTGACAGTCGTGTGGTGGCGGAAGTAGCACTGAGACGCGCCAGAGTGCAGTGTGAAGGAGAGCGACGCGTCAGCCGTGGGTACACCCGGGCTATTAACCACACAAGTACCTAGACTAGAAGCACAAGCACCTAAACTAGCAACAGGCAAGGATCCTAGCCTACGGACATGCGAGCAAACAGATTCAGTAGCACTATAGTCAACATCGGCATACATCACAGAAGCAGATCGCAACGCATCAAGCAACTCTACCGCAGACATGTCAAACAACGCCAGACCACGGGAGCGAGTCAGTGGAGCCCAGTCCGGAGCGGGGCCAAAGCCGTACTGCGCGCGGAGGCGGTCTGTGAGCTGCGCAAAACACTGACCCGGAGGGTGAAGACGGCCACAGGGGCGACCCTGACGAGTGCCAGTCTGAATAATGTACCAGCATGGGGTGGGGGCGACACCACGCGACGTCCAGCTGGGTGAGCCACCACCACTTTCCGAGCTCCCTAGTCCACCAGGTCCCCACTGCTGAGACTGCTGCTGCACCTGCCGCTGAACCTGCTGCACCGCCCGTCCCTGCTGTTGCGTCTGTCCCTGCTGCTGCTGCTGGGACTGCTGACGCTGCTGTGCTCTGTACCACCCAACTAGTCCAGCACCCCCTTCCGTCGGGCCCGCATGCCCAGTACCACCTCCAGTGCCGCCTCCACTAGACGCACTAGTACCACCACTACCTCCGCCACCCCCTCCACCACCATCGCCGCCACCACCCTTCCCCCTTTTCTTACCTCTCCTGCCTCGGGCCCGTCCACTAGCAACGATCACGGCTGCAGTCTCATCAGAAGTAGGAGGCGCAGTAGAGGCAAGAGAAGCAGTGAAGGTGGGGAGCGGTGGGACAGTACACCCCTGGAAGAGAGGCGGAACTACGGCGGCAGAAGCGGAGGCAACTGAGCGGATGTTGCCCTCGATGTCCTTGAGAGCTGTCTCAAGGACCTCGATAGTGAGCGCACTAGGATGCTTCCGAAGAAGCGCGTCGCGTACAGGTGCAAGACGGTCAGGGAGGCTAGCGACGATGAAGTAAATAGTAATTGGCATGGGTGGGGGGAGTAGTGCAAGCTCAGCCTCAGTACAAGCAGCACGGTAGCTAGCGTCGAGCGAGCGCAGGTGGGTGACAAGGTCAGCCGTACAAGCAAACGCTCCTAGGTCGGGAAACAGAAACGGCATGAAAAGACGACCAAGCGAGGCGGAAGAGGGAGTGGAGTAACGGGTCTTAATCGCAACAAACAAGTCCTTGGCAGATCGAACATGGGTGAAGTGGGCCTCCTCAGCCTCAGGGAGAAGGCTGCAGAGCGCAATGCAGGCCGCAGCGTCACGAGACTGCCACACCGACAGAGCTGTACGGGCCTTATCGAAACGCTCCCGTTCTGCATCAGTAGGCTCAGCAGGAAGGGCAGCAGGGGCCAGAGGCGAAGGCAGGTCACCAGAGGCGTGCGCCCAAAGCGTATCATTATCCTGGCGCTGACTCTGGAGGTACAATTCGGCGCGGAGGAGCCAGGTGGGAAAATTTAGCGCTCTACCCTCCGCATCAAAACGCAGGACTCGAGCGGACGCCATGGCGAGTGCTCTACTGGACTAGGAGCGAAAGGCTAGGAACGGTCGGAGCTAGAAGCGAACGGTCGGAGCTAGAAGCGAACGAAGGGTGGACGGCACCAGAAAGGCTAATCTCGGAACGGCTGGAGTGAGTAGCGAATAAAGCCAGAGCTGCTAGTCTAGGAACAGCCGAAACGAACAACGAATCAAGGCCAAAAGGCTAGTCTAGAAACCAGCGAAGCGAGTAACGAACGGAGCCAGAAGGACTAGACTAGGAACACCAGTCACTACGAGGGGTGAAACCTAAGCGGCGCCAAGAGACTCGACTGCGGCTGCCAGCCGGTGCGGGAAACGCCTAGGCAGCAAGCGTGGGAAGGACAGCAGGCACGGGTGGGATGGTGGGAGCCGCTGGCCCTGCGAGTGCGGTGGGCAGAGGCGCGTGCGACCGCAGTTGTGTGTGCAGTTGAGGTTGTACGTGTGGCTGCTGTTGCGCGGGCGGCTGCTGTAGTGCGTGCAGCTCCGCGTGTGCGGCTGCGGGCACGCTGCTGTTTGTGCGGCTGTCTGTGCGAGCAGCTGCTCGGGCGCTGCTGTATGTGTGCGCGGCTGTGCACGCGGCTGCGTGCGAGGCTGTGGGTGCGGCTGCTGCTGCGCGTGTGAGCGGGGTTGCAGTGGCGTGCGAGCAGCTGCTGCTGTTCGTGCGGCTGCTGCTGCGCGCGCGGCTGCTTCTGCGCGCGCGGCTGCAGCTGTGCGTGCGTAGCTGCTGTTGCGTGCGTGATTGGTCGCGGCGTGCGCGGCTGCTTTGTGCGTAGCTGTAGCTGCTCGCGCGCTGCCTATTCGTGCGTGAGTGGCTGCAGTTGCGTGCACGCCTGCTGCTGAAGAATGCGCCCCTCGCGTGCGCGCCCCTCACGCGTGCGCCCCTCACGCGCCCCTCGCGTGCGCGCCTGCTACTGGCGAATGCGCGCGCGCGCGCGAGGGCTATGCGGGGCTCGAATCGAGGGGTCGCGGAGGCCTTGCGGGGCGCGAATCGAGGGGCATACGGCGCGTGAACCGAGGGGCAGTCGGGGCGCGAAACAGGGGGCCTTCGGGGCGCGAAACGAGGGACCCGCGAGGGTCGTCTACGGGGCGACTAGGGGGGAACCCGCGGGGGTCGTGAGAGAAGCAAATCGGAGGACCCGCGGGGGGTCGTCCTAAGGGGCGATTAGGGAGGCGCTAAGGACAGCGGGACGGGCGGAGCTAGGGAGAAGGGTGGGTTAGGTTCCTAGGAACTAACTAGCAATTATTTCAAAGTAGCACTTAGTTGAATGGGGAGTAGGTAAGGTACGGGTTCAACTTCTAGTGTCGAGCAATGTGTTGTACCCTATGCAGAGAACCTCACTATTGCCTAGCACAACTAACTAAGAAATATATAGTTTGACAAAAAAAACAAAAAGGGGTATGTATAATAAATATATAAGGTACACAGATATGAACAAATGCACTGGACTACCGAACATGAACTCTGGTGACAATTCATCCCCATATGTCATACTTTAACGAGTAAGTAAACTGCACCAAACTGCACGACCGTAATCGAATTACAAGGTCGAAACTTCAAGGTGCAACTTGCTAGCACCCTTCAATGCGATGCCACAGATTGTACATACAGTGCACACAGCCCCTAAATACCTTCCATCCAAGCTAACCTACGTACGGTACATGAGAATCCATAGAGTCCAGTTAGGACAGGATGACTGCCTCGGGTGATTATTACATTAAAAAAAAAAAAACTAGGCCTGGTACACGGCCAGCCAGCCCTTCAAATGCTACTGCTCCCTCTTCCTGTAAACCTGCCATGTGCCACCACTCCACTCCCTCCCACTGCCAGTCACGCCGTAAACCCCTTCAATCCTCCTTCTGAACCCCATTACCACAGACAACAAAACCCCTCCTAGAGCACCAGATCAGGCAGCAGCAGCTGCTGCTCGCGCTGCTCCTCATCCTCCTCATCCATCTGCCTCAGCTCTGCAATTCTTACCCTCCACATGCCCTCCACCACCCTCCCTTCCTGGTGAAGATACAGGCACTACCACACACACACCCCTGCTAAAGCACCAAATCAGGCAGCAGCAGCTGCTGCTCGCGCTCCTCCTCGTCCTCCTCATCCATCTGCCGCAGCTCTGCAATGCGCTCCCTCCACATGCCCTCCACCACCCTCCCTTCCTGCAGAAGGCACTACTATATCCCCTCCTAGAGCGCGAGGAAAGACAGGAGCAGCTGAAGGCAATCAAACAACCGTTCTAGAGCACCAAATCAGGCAGCAGCAGCTGTTGCTCGCGCTCCTCCTCGTCCTCCTCATCCATCTGCCTCAGCTCCGCAATCCGCTCCCTCCACATGCCCTCCACCACCCGCCACGTCTCATCGCTCACCGCCTGCACCTGCTGCGGCCTGGGCGCTCCAAAGGTGGCGTAGCCGGAGTTGCCCGGGTGGAAGGTGGCTCGGCCGGGGAGGGATGCGCCGTGAATGCCCCACCTGCCGGTGTGCACTAGCACTGCGTACTCGTCTATTGGTCGCACTGGGGGCTGGTTGGTGAGGGAGGGAGAGGGGGGAGGGAGGAGGGGGGGTGGTTGGCAGGGCAGATCAGGGGCAGGGGGGGAAGGAGGGGACAGAGTGAATGGAGAGGGCAAGGGGAACAAGATGGAAGAATGGGTGGAAAGAGGGGCGCTCCAAAGTTGGCGTAGCCCGAGTTGCCCGGGTGGAAGGTGGCTCGCCCGGGCAGGGAGGCGCCGTGAATGCCCCACCTGCCAGTGTGCACCAGCACTGCGTACTCGTCTATTGGTCGCACTGGGGGCTGGTTAGTGTTTGTGTGGGGGAGAGGTGGGGGGGAAAGGTCCCGAAAGCAGGGAGAATGGGGAAATTGAAAAGGGCGGGTGGGAGAAGGAAGAATTAGGAAGGGTGGAAAGAGGGGCTCCAAAGGTGGCGTAGCCGGAGTGGCCCGGGAGGAAGGTGACTCGCCCGGGGAGGGAGGCGCCGTGAATGCCCCACCATAGACATGCTGTGGATGGCGTCAAGACGCACACACACACATACTGAACTCCCTCAATGAGGTGACTTTTGAGTCGACTCAAAAGTCACGCCGGGGAGGGAGGCGCCGTGAATGCCCCATCATAGACATGCTGTGGATGGTGTCGAGACGCACACACATACTGAACTCCCTCCCTCCCCAACCCCCCAGCCCCCACACATACCTGGGAAAATTTGGGAGCAGCATCATAGATGCTGTGAATGGCATCATGACATCTTCCCTCAAACACAACCCCACACACCCACGAACAGCCCCTCTTACCCCCCAGCCACAAACACACACACACACACACAGACACACACACACACACACACACACACACACACACACACACACACACACACACACACACACACACACACACACACACACACCTGGGGGAACTTGGGAGCAGCATCATAGATGCTGTGAATGGCATCAAAACATGCGCGCGCGCGCGCGCGCGCGCGCGCACACACACACACACACACTGAACTCCTTCCCTCCCCAACCCCCCAACCCCCACACATACCTGGGGGAACTTGGGAGCAGCATCATAGATGCTGTGAATGGTGTCTCCTGTCACCTCGCCCTCCTCCAACAGACGCTCTGTGTGGGTTCAAAGGGGTGGTGTGCGGTTGAGGGGGTATGTGTGTCCAAAGTTGAAGGGTTCGAAAAAGGTAAGGAGGGCGAATGGTGAGGGAGGGTGTGGTGTGAAGGGAATGCGGTTCAAATAATAAGATGGATGAAAAACAAAAGTGGGTAGGGTGGGTGAGGGGAAGGCGAGTGGGAGGGGGGAGCAGGGGAAGGATGGGGAGACCAAGGAAGGGAAGGGAGCGGGTGGAGAGTAGGGGTTGTGTGTGATGGGGAGGTGTTCGTACCTGCGATTATGTCCACAGCCGATCTGTACTCTTTAAAGACAGCCTTAACGAGTAACATGTCAGCAACAGATAGCATCTCAGATGCGCCTTTCTTACCTGCGATTGTGTCTACAGCCGATCTGTACTCTTTAAGAACAGCCTCGCATTTCGCCTTGGAGTAGCGCATGTACTCTTCCCTTAGAGCGATGACCTTGGGAATGAGCTGTATGCATGGGGATAGGGGAGAAACGAGTGATAGTGAGTCATGTGAGCGAATCTCGATGCACGTTACGTGTGCAATTTTGTTAGTCGACTCAGAAATGACAAACATCATGCGGGGCATCAATACATTTTGCGTCGACTAAATTTTGCGTCTCCATCCCCTCATCACTGCTTGTCATACACTGCAGCCATGTGTTTGAGCACATCATATATGCATATGGTATGGTGTAACAATATATAAATATATATATACACACATATTTTTTCTAGAACATTGAGTACACTCACGTGCGGCATGAGGTCCTTCTGTGTCTCGTAAACCACCTTCCCCAGAGCACTCATGCCGCTCCTCAGGATCACATACACCACTGCATATATGATACTAATGTATATATATATATATATATATTAGTCGAGTACACTCACGTGCGGCATGAGGTCCTTCTGTGTCTCGTAAACCACCTTCCCCAGAGCGCTCATGCCGCTCCTCAGAATCACGTAGTCTGCCAGTTGCACTGCCTCTCTGTACGCTACGCCTGCCTGCCAGCTCACGTTTGCTGCCCCAAACACCATGCGCTCCATTATAGCAGCTGTCAGGGAGGTGGGATGTAAAGAGTGGGGCAAGAGGGTCAGAAAATTGCCACTCCTCAGGATCACATGGTCTGCCAGTAGAACCGCCTCTCTGTACGCCACCCCCGCCTGCCAGCTCACGTTGGCCGCTCCAAACACTATCCTCTCCACTATGGCAGCTGTTAGGGAGGGCACATTATGTGGGCGAGACGGAGAGGAAGAGCATTTGAGGATCACACCACCTTCCTCAGGATCACAAAAGTCTTTTTTTGAGTCGACTCAAACATAGTCTGCCAGTTGCACTGCACCCCACCCCACCGCCTCTCTGTACTCCACCCCTCCCTGCCAGCCAGCTCGTATTCGCTGCCCCAAACACCATCTAAACTCCCCTTACCCACGTGCAAATGCACGCACGAACCCGTCCTGTAAAGCGCGATGGCTTGACTTGACGGCAAAGCAGCAGTGGCCGCGAACAGACATGCTCTTACCCATGTAAAACGCCCCAAACCGCACTGAAACGCCCCAAACCGCACTGAACTCCCTTACTCACGTGCAAAGGCGCGCACGATTGCATCGAGCATGTCCTGCTTGACGGCAAAGCAGCGGTGGCGCACCCTCTCATGCTCCATGTTGGGGAGAGGATCCACATTGTCAAGCGAGGTCTGATGAGGAACGGGAGAAGGGAGCGGGGAGAGACGATACGGAAGGGTGTCTGGTGGGTGGAGCAGCGGTGGCGCACCCTCTCGTGCTCCATGTTGGGAAGAGGATCCACATTGTCTAGAGAGGTCTGATGAGGAACGGGAGAAGGGAGCGGGGAGAGACGATACGGAAGGGTGTCTGGTGGGTGGAGCAGCGGTGGCGCACCCTCTCATGCTCCATGTTGGGGAGAGGATCGACGTTGTCGAGAGACGTCTGTTAAAATGAGAGGGCCGGGGGGATGAAAGGGGGTGCAGCGTGGTGGGAGGGGGTGGTGGTGGGTGGAGCAGCGGTGGCGCACCCTCTCGTGCTCCATGTTGGGAAGAGGATCGACGTTGTCAAGAGAGGTCTGGTGGGGAATACAGTGCCTGGTTAGAGAGGGAAGAAGCACTATTGAGGTTCAGCGGTGGCGCACCCTCTCGTGCTCCAGGTTGGGAAGAGGATCGACGTTGTCAAGAGAGGTCTGGTGGGGAATACAGTGCCTGGTTAGAGAGGGAAGAAGCACTATTGAGGTTCAGCGGTGGCGCACCCTCTCGTGCTCCAGGTTGGGGAGAGGGTCCACGTTGTCAAGAGACTGATGGGAGAGGGATGGGGGGGAGGGGAGGTGGTGCGGGGAAAAAAGGGGGCCGGGTGTCTGGTGGGTGGAGCAGCAGTGGCGCACCCTCCTGTGCTCCAGGTTGGGGAGAGGGCCCACGTTGTCAAGAGAGGTCTGGTGGGGAGGGAGGTGAATGGGGTGAGGAGAGGGGGAGAGAGGTGAATGGGGTGAGGAGAGGTGTATGGGGGGAGGGTAAGGGGGTCAGACACACAAAAGCACGCGTGCCCATGTGCATGCACGCACACACACACTCTCTCTCCCACACACAGAAACACACACACTCACCCTCACATACGCACACATTGCTGACACACAGACACCATAGGCACACAGTCAAACCAGCACTCACCCACTTGATCGGCCCTAATCTGTCCGGTAGGGCGCACTCGAGAACAGCGATGGAGGCCTCACGGTAAGCAGAGGAGAACTCTGGTCAGGCACAAGAACCCACACCACACATACTGTCGGCACATTCAAACCGAGGTAACTTTTGAGCCGACTCAAACGTCACCTTGTAAGAAGAGGAGAGACTTTGGTCAGGCACAAGAACCCACAGCACACATACTGTCGACACATTTACACCACACACTCACCCGCTTGATCGGCCCTGAACTGTCCGGCAGGGCGCACTCGAGAACAGCGATGGAGGCCTCTCGATAAGCTGCTCTCATGCGCACCTCCCGGCTATCCAACACATCCTCCTCTCCTGTCTTGAACTCGCCGGCTTGCTGCAACGGACAAGGGGGGTAGGGCCATAGGAGTGGGGTACAAGGGGTTAAGCGCCGCAGTAAGCTGCTCGCATGCGCACCTCCCGGCTATCCAACACATCCTCCTCTCCTGTCTTGAACTCGCCGGCTTGCTGCAACGGACAAGGGGGGTAGGGCCATAGGAGTGGGGTACTAGGGGTTAAGCGCCGCAGTAAGCTGTTCTCATGCGCACCTCCCGGCTATCCAACACATCCTCCTCTCCTGTCTTGAACTCGCCGGCTTGCTGCAACGGACAAGGGGGGACACAAGAGGGGCAGGTTAGGAGTAGGGTAAGGGTTGTGCCTTGCGGTAAGCCACTCTCACCGCGAAACTACGCATCCCCAAGGTGCCCAGCACGTCCTCCCCCCCTGTCTCATGTGTGATGAGTCGATTTTTTAGTGAGCGCCCTCACTCAAAAAACTACGCATCCCCAAGGTGAGCGTCCCCCTGCCACACTCACAAATCGACTTGCCCAGCACGTCCTCCCCGCCTGTCTCATCAGTCAATGGCCTGAAGCAGCTCCTCCCTCTCAATCTCGTCCTTGTCCTTTTGAGTGCCTATTGAATCTACGGACCCTGCTTAGACGTGGTGACCACAGGTGAATCATTGCCCCTACCCCTCCCCGCAGTCTGACTCACCCGGTCAATGGCCTGAAGCAGCTCCTCCCTCTCAATCTCGTCCTTGTCCTTCCGAATCGCTAAAATGGCTGCCTCATTGCTGAGAGACGTGTGATGGGGCGTGGAGGGATGTGGAGAGGTGGAGAGGGGTAGAGAGGGGTGACAAGGGGTAAGAATGGGTGGCTTGCAACAGCTCCTCCCTCTCAATCTCATCCTTGTCCTTTCGAATGGATATGGTGGTTTCCTCGTTGCTGAGAGTGGTGTGATACGGTGGGGATGGGTGGGAAAGGGCAAGAAGAGATGGCACGGGGTGGCAACTTGGCAAGGGATGGGAAGGGGAGAAAGAGGAAGCGTAATGGGTCAAGGCAGGACGCAATGGGATTCAGCCGGGTGCATTGCCAAACAAGAACTTTCCAAGCTAAGGCTTAGCGTTGCTGAGAGCGGTGAGATGCGGTGGAGAGGGCAAGCCTGCGGTGGGATGCGGTGTGGCAGCGGCGGCTATCTCCCTCAGGAGCATTCTTCAGCCAAGTGCAGTGCTATGTTGCAGAAGACGCGTCTAGCGTCTTAGACGCTTGCGTCTAGACGCAGGACGCTCGTCTTGGGCAGATTAGACGCTGGGAAAGACGCAAGCCCGGGCAGGCAAAAAAAATACGGGCAGCCAAAACAACCTTCTATGGGGCATGGGGAGGGGGGGGATATGGATGTAAACCACATTTGAGGCAGATTTTCCCCTAACTATTTGAGGCATGGGGGATTATTTTTTTCGGGCTGACCAAAAAAATCTCCCCCATGCGTCTTGCGTCTTTGTGAGCGTCCTGCGTCCTGCGTCCTGCGTCCAGACGGGCGTCTTCTGCAACTTAGGTGCAGTGCAGCTGCGTACAAGAGATACAGACAATTTACAAGGCACTTACAGGATATTCATGAGTTCCGCTCCACTGTAGTCGGGTGTAGCAGCAGCTATCTCCCTCAGGAGCATTCTTGAACCAGCTGCAGTGTGGCTGCGTGCGTACAAGAGATATACGAATCCAAAACGCACTTACAGAATATTCATGAGCTCGGCTCCACTGTAGTCGGGTGTAGCAGCAGCTATCTCCCTCAGGAGCTTCAGCTTCTCCTCTTCCGACTTGAACGCCTTGCTGCGCGCATGCACCTTAATGAGTAAGGCAATAACGGGGATAAAGGATACGGAATACAAAGGAGGGGCAAGAGGGGAAGAGAGCTTTATCTTCTCCTCTACAGGCTTGAATGCCCTGTTGCGCTCATGCACCTAAGCGAGGAAGACAATAACGGGGATAAAAGGGTCGCGGTGATAAGGAGAATCAGAAGGGAAGGCGGAATATACAAAGGAGACGGATTAGAGAGGAGGCGTTGGGAGGATGTGGAGCGGGGATAAGGAGAGAGTGCGGGAGGGAGAGCGGAGGGGAGAGCGGAGGGGAGAGCGGAGGGGGGAAGAAGAAGCAAATATTCGCTGATTGTTCCCTATCTCGTACCTTGAGACGATTTTTGAGTCGACTCAAAAATCGTCTCATCACACCCCTATCTCGTACCTTGAGCACGGAGAAGCGCCCCTCCTCTGTGGGCAGTCCCACGCGCACCACCTTGTCAAACCGCCCCTTGCGCAGCAGTCATGAAGCAGCACACAGGCCCACCCAAACTCACACAGACAAATCAAACAGCATATCCGCTACTCACCTTGAGGACTGAAAAGCGCCCCTCCTCTGTGGGCAGACCCACCCGCACCACCTTGTCAAACCACCCCTTGCTGCTGAAGGCACGGCGTGGGATAAGCCAAGGGCAAGCAATCCTTCCCTTCCAGCATGCATGCAAGCATGACAAGTACACACACTCCTTCTCACCTTGAGCACTGAGAACCGCCCCTCCTCTGTGGGCAGACCCACGCGCACCACTATGTCGAACCACCCCTTGCTGCTGAAGGCAAGGCGTGGGATAAGCCAAGGGCAAGCAATCCTTCCCTTCCAGCATGCATGCAAGCATGACAAGTACACACACTCCTTCTCACCTTGAGCACTGAGAACCGCCCCTCCTCTGTGGGCAGACCCACGCGCACCACCTTGTCGAACCACCCCTTGCTGCTGAAGGCACGGCGTGGGATAAGCCAAGGGCAAGCAATCCTTCCCTTCCAGCTTGCATGCAAGCATGACAAGTACACACACTCCTTCTCACCTTGAGCACTGAGAACCGCCCCTCCTCTGTGGGCAGACCCACCCGCACCACCTTGTCAAACCACCCCTTGCTGCTGAAGGCAAGGCGTGGGATAAGCCAAGGGCAAGCAATCCTTCCCTTCCAGCATGCATGCAAGCATGACAAGTACACACACTCCTTCTCACCTTGAGCACTGAGAACCGCCCCTCCTCTGTGGGCAGACCCACGCGCACCACTATGTCGAACCACCCCTTGCTGCTGAAGGCAAGGCGTGGGATAAGCCAAGGGCAAGCAATCCTTCCCTTCCAGCATGCATGCAAGCATGACAAGTACACACACTCCTTCTCACCTTGAGCACTGAGAACCGCCCCTCCTCTGTGGGCAGACCCACGCGCACCACTATGTCGAACCACCCCTTGCTGCTGAAGGCACGGCGTGGGATAAGCCAAGGGCAAGCAATCCTTCCCTTCCAGCTTGCATGCAAGCATGACAAGTACACACACTCCTTCTCACCTTGAGCACTGAGAACCGCCCCTCCTCTGTGGGCAGACCCACCCGCACCACCTTGTCAAACCACCCCTTGCTGCTGAAGGCAAGGCGTGGGATAAGCCAAGGGCAAGCAATCCTTCCCTTCCAGCATGCATGCAAGCATGACAAGTACACACACTCCTTCTCACCTTGAGCACTGAGAACCGCCCCTCCTCTGTGGGCAGACCCACGCGCACCACTATGTCGAACCACCCCTTGCTGCTGAAGGCACGGCGTGGGATAAGCCAAGGGCAAGCAATCCTTCCCTTCCAGCATGCATGCAAGCATGACAAGTACACACACTCCTTCTCACCTTGAGCACTGAGAACCGCCCCTCCTCTGTGGGCAGACCCACGCGCACCACCTTGTCGAACCACCCCTTGCTGCTGAAGGCACGGCGTGGGATAAGCCAAGGGCAAGCAATCCTTCCCTTCCAGCTTGCATGCAAGCATGACAAGTACACACACTCCTTCTCACCTTGAGCACGGAGAACCGCCCCTCCTCTGTGGGCAGACCCACGCGCACCACTATGTCGAACCACCCCTTGCTGCTGAAGGCACGGCGTGGGATAAGCCAAGGGCAAGCAATCCTTCCCTTCCAGCATGCATGCAAGCATGACAAGTACACACACTCCTTCTCACCTTGAGCACTGAGAACCGCCCCTCCTCTGTGGGCAGACCCACGCGCACCACCTTGTCGAACCACCCCTTGCTGCTGAAGGCACGGCGTGGGATAAGCCAAGGGCAAGCAATCCTTCCCTTCCAGCATGCATGCAAGCATGACAAGTACACACACTCCTTCTCACCTTGAGCACTGAGAACCGCCCCTCCTCTGTGGGCAGACCCACGCGCACCACCTTGTCAAACCGCCCCTTGCGCAGCAGAGCAGGGTCCAGCATGTCCAGGCGGTTGGTGGCGCCGATCACCAGCACCTGGAGGGGAGTAGCATGCGGGTAGTTGGGAGGGGAAAAACAAAGCACCTAGTCAGTTAGGTGCGAACCAGCGACCACCACCACCTTCTTAAACCGCCCCTTGCGCAGCAGCGCAGGGTCCAGCATGTCCAGGCGGTTGGTGGCGCCGATCACCAGCACCTGGCGGGGGTAGAAGTGGGGTGGTGGGAGGTAACACAGAGGGGTTGAGTGCACACAGCCTCTTGCGCAGCAGCGCAGGATGTAGCATGTCTAGGCGGTTGGTGGCGCCGATGACCAGCACCTGGCGGGGAATGGGAGGGGGAGCAGAGGAGAATGACGAGGGTGGGTGGCGTGAGTTAGCATGGATACACCCCCTTGCGCAGCAGCGCAGGATCGAGCATGTCTAGACGGTTGGTAGCCCCGATGACCAGCACCTGGCGGGCGTAGAAGTGGGGTGGTGGGAGGTAACACAGAGGGGTTGAGTGCACACAGCCTCTTGCGCAGCAGAGCGGGATCGAGCATGTCTAGACGGTTGGTGGCGCCGATGACCAGCACCTGGAGGGGAGTGGCACGGGGGTAGTTGGGAGGGGAAAAACAAAGCATGATCGAGACGGTTGGTCGCCCCAATGACCAGCACCTGGAGGGGGGGAGAAGACAGAGAGGGGGAGAAGGAGGGAGGGTTATGGGGGTGGGTGAAGTGGATTCCTAATGCATAAAGCCCCTTGCGCAGCAGCGCAGGGTCCAGCATGTCCAGACGGTTGGTCGCCCCAATGACTAGAACCTGGAGGATAGGAGAGGGGGAGCAACGGAAGGGAAAGCATGGGGAAAGCAGCAGAGAGGGTGGGTAAATCCATAGAGCCCCCCTTGCGCAGCAGAGCAGGGTCCAGCATGTCCAGACGGTTGGTGGCGCCAATGACCAGCACATGGGGGGGAGGAGAGGGGAGCAGAGGAGAGAGGGGAAAGAGGGGGAAGGGCGGGGGAGGACAGGTTCTCCTGGAACCCATCCATTTCTATGAGGATCTGAATCAGCCCTTGCTCCCTCTCGATGTTGCGCGCTCCCTGCTACCACCTCCCATATGCATCCTCCCTCCCTCCCTCTTACATACCCTCCCTTGCTACGGTCACACACCTTGGCCTGGTTCTCCTGGAACCCATCCAGCTCCATAAGAATCTGAGTCAGCCCCTGCCTGCCCACTGCCACACCTTCCCTCCTTTCATTACAATGACACACACACAAGCACACACACAAGCACACACACAAGCACAAACACAAGCACACACACCTTGGCCTGGTTCTCCTGGGACCCATCCAGCTCCATGAGGATCTGAATCAGCCTCTGCCTGCCCACCGCCCCTTTACCTATTATATCAACTTTCCTCCCTCTCTACCATCAATCACCCACCTTGGCATCTGGTTCTCTTGAAATCCATCCAGCTCCGTGAGGATCTGAATCACCCCCTGCTCTGCTCCCCTCTGCCTGCCATACCTTCCCTCCTTACCCTTTTCCAGAGGCCATTTATGCTGCCATCAATCACCTTCCTTGAAAGCACCAGCCTCTTATATCACCTTTCCTTCCGTTACAGTCACGCACCTTGGCCTGGTTCTCCTGAAATCCATCCAGCTCCGTGAGGATCTGAATCAGCCTCTGCTTGCCCACTGCCACACCTTCCCTCCTTTCATTACAATGACACACACACAAGCACACACACAAGCACACACACAAGCACACACACAAGCACACACACCTTGGCCTGGTTCTCCTGGGACCCATCCAGCTCCATGAGGATCTGAATCAGCCTCTGCCTGCCCACCGCCCCTTTACCTATTATATCAACTTTCCTCCCTCTCTACCATCAATCACCCACCTTGGCATCTGGTTCTCTTGAAATCCATCCAGCTCCGTGAGGATCTGAATCACCCCCTGCTCCCCACTGCCTGCCACACCACACCTTCCCTCCTTACCCTTTTCCAGGGGCCATTTATGCTGCCATCAATCACCTTCCTTGAAAACACCAGCCTCTTATATCACCTTTCCTTCCGTTACAGTCACGCACCTTGGCCTGGTTCTCCTGAAATCCATCCAGCTCTGTGAGGATCTGAATCAGCCCCTGCTCCCGCTCAATATTGCCCTGTGTTTGAAACATGTGTGGAAACAGAGGGATATTGGGAGGACAAAGCAGAGAAGATGGAAATGGGGGAGATTTTACTTTTTGCAGGAATGTACAGGGGGAGTGGGGGATATGAGAAGGAACAACCAAGGAGCAAAAATCTCGCTAATGGGAAACAAAATATGCATCACGGACAAACAAGTTAAGACCCAGACTCCCCTAACTCGCTCCCTCACTCGCTCCCTCCCTCACCTCACCCACTCACCCCTCCCTGGTCGCTGGCCGTGCCTCGCTTGGACCCGATGGCATCGATCTCATCAATGAATATGATGGCCGGGGCGAATTGGGAGGATATATTCTAGCACAGACTACCGCCACACTCTCACCCCCACACTCTCCCCCACTCCCACTCACTCCCTCACTCGCTCCCCCACTCGCTCCCTCCCTCGCTCCCCCACTCGCTCCCTCACTCGCTCTCACACTCTCACCCACTCCCCTCACCCACTCACCCCGCCCTGGTCGCTGGCCGTGCCTCGCTTGGACCCGATGGCATCGATCTCATCAATGAAGATGATGGCCGGCGCAAATTGGCGCGCTCTGAAGAAGAGATCCTTGACTCTTGAGGCTGCCACTCCTGCAAACATCTGCATGTGGGGGAAGGGGGAAGACAGTGGGGCCGGGAGGCAGAGAGAAAGGCAGGCATCGATCTCTTCAATGAGTATGACTGCCGGGGCGAATTGGCGCGCTCTGAAGAAGAGATCCTTGACTCTTGAGGCTGCCACCCCTGCAAACATCTGGTGGGTGACAGTGGGGCAGGGAAGAGAGAGACAGGCATGCATCGATCTTATCAATGAAGATGATTGATGGCCGGGGCGAATTGGCGAGCGCGGAAGAATAAGTCTTTCACTCGTGAGGCCGCCACTCCTGCAAACATCTGGCGGGTGGGAAGGAAGACAGACACAGGCAGGCATCGATCTCATCAATGAAGATTATGGCCGGGGCGAATTGGCATGCCCGGAAGAATAAATCTTTAACTCTCGACCCTGCGAACATCTGGTGGGTGGGGGTGGGGTGAAAGAGAGTGGGGGGGGGCGGGAGGGGGAGAGAGGCAGGCATCGATCTCATCAATGAAGATGATAGCCGCTGCGAATTGGCGTGCTCTGAAGAATACGTCTTTACCTCTCGACGCTGCCACTCCTGCGAACATCCTCACAAAGTCTGAACTACACAAACGCCAAAAATATTGCTCACCTCTACGAACTCAGCCCCAGACACGGAGAAAAACGGCACCCCTGCCTCTCCAGCAATGGCCATTGGGTCACCGCTCACCACTCCTCCCTCTTCTCACTCTCCACCTTTTTCTCTCACTCACCCCTCCAAACCCCCACAAGCTCACCTCTACAAACTCAGCCCCAGAGACAGAGAAAAACGGCACCCCAGCCTCTCCAGCAATAGCCTTCGCCAGCAGCGTTTTTCCGGTTCCGGGCGGGCCAAAAAGAAGCACGCCCTTCGGGCAGTACACGCCCAGGTCCTCGAATTCTTTGGCTGCCCGAAGGATCCGCACCACCTCCTGCAGCTCTCTCTTCACGTAATCCTGCCCGGCGAAATCGTCAAACGTGATTCCCGTCTTCTCCTCTGCTGAGATATACCGTGCCCTGGGGATTGAAGCAAGACAAGGGGTAAGAATGGGGGTTGAATGGGGTGGGGAGTGGTGAGATGAGGTGGAGAGGAGTGGGGCGTGGTGCAGTGTGGTTGAGAGCGTTGGAGCGGGTAAGGAATCCGCACCACCTCCTGCAGCTCTCGCTTCACGTAATCCTGCCCAGCAAAATCGTCAAACGTGATTCCCGTCTTCTCCTCTGCTGAGATATACCGTGCCCTGGGATTAGAAAGTAGGAGAGGGGGGAAAGACAGGGTGTTGAACGAGGTCGGGAGTGGTGAGATGAGGTGGAGAGGGGTGGGGAGTGGTGCAGTGCGGTTGAGAGCGGTGGAGTGTAGTGGGGAATTGACGCCACCTCCTGCAGCTCTCGCTTCACGTAGTCCTGCTCGGCAAAATCGTCAAACGTGCCATCCCTCTCACCTGCTCTGCCCCATGGTCCCCAGGTCTGGGTTCAGCACGGCAGTCAGCTTCCTGTGGCTGCTCCTCAGCCTTCCTCGGCTCTTACTCCCTCACTCGCTTCCCCACTCGCTTCCTCACTCGCTTCCCCACTCGCTCCCGCACTGACTCTCACCTGCTCTACCCCATGGTCCCCAGATCGGGGTTCAGCACGGCAGTGAGCTTCCTGTGGCTGCTCCTCGGCCGTTCCTCCAGCACCCTCTCCAGCCCCACTTGGTACAGGCTACAGCCTACAGCTACTCACTGCCTCTCTCCCCCACCCTGCCCCTTACCCCCCTCACCTGCTCTGCCCCATGGTGCCAAGATCAGGGTTCAGCACAGCAGTCAGCTTCCTGTGGCTGCTCCTTGGCCTTCCTCGGCTCTTACTCCCTCACTCGCTTCCCCACTCACTCCCTCACGTGCTCTACCCACTCACCTGCTCTGCCCCATGGTCCCCAGGTCGGGGTTCAACACAGCAGTCAGCTTCCTGTGGCTGCTCCTCGGCCGTTCCTCCAGCTTGGTCGGCTGGTACAGCGGAAACAGCACCCTCTCTAGCCCCACATAGTTCAGTGTAGAAAGTAACTCCCTCACTCCTCACTCCCTAACTCACTCCCTCACTCACTCCCTCACTTGCCCTCACCTGCTCTGCCCCATGGTCCCCAGGTCAGGGTTCAGCACGGCAGTGAGCTTCCTGTGGCTGCTTCTCGGCCGCTCCTCCAGCTTAGTCGGCTGGTACAGCGGAAACAGCACCCTCTCTAGCCCCACATACAGCCCACACGCCAACGCCAGTCTCAACCCCCAAGTTGCCGCCAGCTGCATTGTCCCTACTGTGCTGCCTAGGAGACCGGCGGAGGAGGCAGGGAGGAGGGACGGGAAGAGGGAGGAGGAGGAGGAGGGGGAGGGGAGGGCGGTGGGGGCGGCGGTGGTGGAAGAGGAGAGGGTTGAAGGGGTGGTGAAGGGCGCGGGGGGGAAGGCGGAGGGGCGGTTGGTGAGGGTGACGTGGGCGAGTTGGGTGCGCAGGAGGGACCAGAGCTCGGAGTGCACGTCTGCTGGCATGTGGCGCACCCTGTGCTTCAACCACACCACCTGAGGGGAGGTGGGGGGGGAGGAAGGCACACAAAGGGAGGAAAAGCACACAGTAGAGGGGATGGAGCAGAGAGGAGGGAAAGGAGGAGGGACCAGAGCTCGGAATGCACGTCTGCTGGCATGTGGCGCACCCTGTGCTTCAACCACACGACCTGAGAGGGAGGGTTGGTTGGGAGGGGAGAAGGACTAGAAAAAAAGGGAGTGGAGAGGAGTGAAATGTGGCGGAGTGGTGTGGAATGGAGTGGAGTGGAGTGGAGTGGAGTGGAGTGGAGTGGAGTGGAGTGGAGTGGAGTGGAGTGGAGTGGAGTGGAGCGGATTGGAATGCGGCGGAGTAAGGATCCAAACTGTGAGCAGAGCGCATACCAGAGCAGCCATCACATCACACACTAGTCCACCAACAGATTTTCTAAAACAGAGTTGAACCCGAAACCTTAAACCCTAAACCCTCAACAGGGTTGAAAAAACAGAATTTCGATCTGACAAGGGTTTTGCTGACAACAGGATACTGACAACAGAGTTTCAAAACAGCCCCCCTTACAAGAATTCTCAAATGTGTATTCTGCGTTACCTGGTCTGGAAGGCCCATGTGCCCCACTGCCTCCGCCTCCTTCCCTTCTTCTCCTCCTGCTCCTCCTGCTGCCACTAGCGATGCTTGTCCCTCTGCCTATCTGATGAGCCCATGTAAGGTGCGTTACCTACCTGGATGCATGCTTGTCCCTCTGCCCCCATTTTTGAGAATTCTCAAAAAACATACGCTGGGACTGTAAGGTGCGGTACCTACCTGGTCTGGAAGGCCCATGTGCCCCACCGCCTCTGCCTCTTCCTCCGCCCCCTCCCCTTCTGCCCCTGCTCCTGCCCCTCCCGTTTCCCCTCCCGCTGCCCCTAGTGCTGCTTGCCGCTCTGAGTAATGTGCCTTACCTGGTCTGGAAGGCCCATGTGCCCCACTGCCCCAGCCTCTTCCCCCGCCTCCTCCCCGTCAGCTCCTCCCCACCATCCCTTCCGACCCACAACCCCCTTAAGACCTAATAGATAACAGCCATCACTCAAGCACACCACCTGGGACTGTGAGGTGCGTTACCTGGTCTGGAAGGCCCATGTGCCCCACTGCCTCTGCCTCTGCCTCTTCCGCCGCCTCCTTCCCTTCTTCTCCTCCTGCTGCTGCCCCTTCTGCTGCCTGTGGCGCTGCTTGTCGCTCTGTCTCTTTCCCCTTCTTCCTCGCCCCCCCTCCTCGCTTCACCTCCAGCCCCAGGTCCTTGGCAGGATGCGGGAGAATCACTGGAGGGGGAGGGAAGTGGGGGCAAAAGGTGGGGAGTATGAGGAGACACAGAGATAGTTTCTGTGTGGCTTCGCCAGCAGTTAATTGTCTCACCACCTCTTCCTCCTCGCCCCATCTCCCCGCTTCACCTCCAGCCCCAAGTCTTTGGCAGGGTGGGGGAGAACCTTTGGCAGAGGGAGAGGAATAACAGGGAGGGAGGGTGGGTGGGGGAGCGGTGGGGGATATGGGGAGACACATCATGACGGTTCTTGTGTGTGGGTTTGCTCGGTCCTATTGTCTCACCACGTCTTCCTCGTCCCCTCTCCCCGCCTCACTTCCAGCCCCAGGTCTTTTGAGGCGCCTCATAACTCGTCTTTTGAGGCGCCTAAAAAGACAGTTCTCGTGTGGGTTTGCTCAATCCTATTGCCCGACCCCCTCTTCCTCACACCATCTCCCCGCTTCACCTCCAGCCCAAGGTCCTTGGCAGGGTGGGTGGGGGAGAATCACTGGCGGGTGGGGAGACAAAGGGGGAAATACAGGGAGACAGGGAATTGATTCGATTCGACTGGCTTGCCAGACGCTCATTGCCGCGCCTCCCTTCTTTCCCCCCACATCTCCCCGCTTCACCTCCAGCCCCAAGGTCCTTGGCAGGGTGGGTGGGGGAGAATCCTGGATGCAAACACACGAGGGGGAAATCACTTTTGAGAATCCTCGAAAGTGATTTCCTTGAAATCACTTTTGGAAAGAGTGGCAGGGGAAAGGGTCTTAGAAAGATTATCAGCGGAGTCTATTGAAATCACTTTTGAGAATCCTCGAAAGTGATTTCAAAGAGTGGCAGGCGAAAGGGTCATAGAAAGATTGTCAGCAGAGCTCCATCCAATGAACTATACAATGGAGAGAAGCCGTTTGTTGTCTCCCCTCCCCATCTGCAGCAGCGCCCAGAAATCCGCTGCAATCAATCCATCCAGAAAATTGACCTTCCACCTAACCCACCTTCCACAAACCGCCCGTTACTGCCGTAATTGACAAACTTCGCCCTCCCCATTTGCAGCAGCGCCCAATACCCAGCTAGTTTCCAGCCCTCCTCCCATTCTGCACGCAAACAACCCTTACCTTCCACAAATCGGCCGTTATCGCCGTAGTTCACAAACTTCACCCTCCCCATCTGCAGCAGCGCCCAGAAATCCGCTATCTTCAATCCGTCCATCCAATCCAAAATTTAACCTTCCACCTAACCCACCTTCCACAAACCGGCCGTTATCGCCGTAATTCACAAATTTGACCCTCCCCATCTGCAGCAGCGCCCAGAAATCCGCAAAGTCCACGTCAGCACCGGGCAGAGGGTCCCACTGGCTGCCGCGGAGCCTTCCCAGAAGCTTCTTCGCCGCCCGCTTCCACCCGATCCTCGCCACCTCGTCCCGCTCTGCCTGGATGCGAAGCTGCCTCGCAACTTCCTCCTGCTGGTTGAAACTTTCCACCTGACGTTTCCTTAAAGCCTGGAGGGAACGTCGGGCGGGAAAAGAGGAGGATGGAGGCAGGCGGGGTGAGTTTTTGAGGCCTGAAGGGAACGGAGAAAAGACAAATGGAAGGGGTGGGGAATTGACTTGTGAGTCGACTCAGAATTCATCTCCTGCTGGTTGAAACTTTCCATCTGACGCTTCCTCAAAGCCTGAAGGGAACGCCAGGGGGGAGAAAAGAAGGGTGGAGGCGCGGGGGTGACGAGGGGCCAAGGTGGGGGGAGGAGAGGGGAGAGGCGGAAAGGAGGAGGTTCGGAGGGTAGTCAAGTGGGGGGGAGGGGAGGGGGGCGGAAAGAGGGTGGAGGGGAGGGGGGGTTAGGTGCGTTTGAGAGGTTGCGGAATAATGCAGGCACCAAACCCTCCCTCAGAGGTAACCGTAAGAGTAATTTGAGAATCTTCAGCAGCACCAACTCACCTACCGCTGTCCGTTCCCCATCTTGCATCATCAAACCCTTTCTAAACCCTCGCCACCTATGCCTATCCGATTCCGTCACCTGCTGCCTCCTCTTTGGCCCTTCCCACTGCCTATGCGAATTTTCGCTTATGCGAAATTCGCCAATGCGAAATCCTCGAAAGTGCTTCGCTCACCTCGAAGAATGCGAGCTGCTTGTCGTCTTCCATCCCCGTCCGTCCCTTCGCCTCGGCAACTCCCGAACCTAGAGCTGGCTCGGCTCCTGCTGTCGAACCTGAAGCTGCCGAGCCTGAGACCGAACCTGATGTCGAGCCTGCCTCGGCACGCGCGGTGAGTCTGGAACGAGATAGCTTTTGGGATTGACGCTTGTGCGCGGCTGGTCGAGTGACTGTACGCGGAGTGCTTGTAACAAGGCTTGACCTGCTCGATCCGACATTGCGAGGGGTCGTACGCGCTACAGACGCGACTGACGGAGATTGAGCAACTGAACTCGATACAAGCAGGTGCCTACAAGCGCAAGGAGCGTTCGGTTTCATCCTTAACGGAGTCGGAAAACGACAAGATGGCACTGGTGCTGCGATCATTGGCGACTGGACGACAATGTGCGACAATGACAGCGATCGCGGGGCCGCCATTGGGATCTACTATCGCGACGCGACACCGAGGAAAACGACCTGAGGCCGCGAAACTTAGGAGCTGCTATCGGTGATTTCAGCTATCCTGCGACACCGTCGCGCTAAGTCGTGAGTCGCGAAGAGCGGTTTAACAGGAGGCGGTAGTCGGAACCGGCTCGTCACCGCAGGATGCGGCGATAACAAGCAGCGATTCCCGCCGTAACACACGCTGGCTGAAATGCGTGTGTGCAGTGTCGGAGGATTTTCTGAGAATTGTTGGAGTGGATGAGGTTCAGAGGCCGTGTGACACTAACGGGTTGACGGAGGCGGATAAGGAACAAAGGCTGATATGTAAGGTGCATTGTAGAGAGGATTTCTCTAAGGAAAATTCCGTGATTCCTTACTCTGTGTTACGAGTGCAATTGAGTGATCGAGCGAGAATTGCACTATCGAAGCAAGAGTCCAATGAGCGAAGGCATGAGCGAAGAATACATAGCGAAACTACAGTGGTAACGGTAATGAACCGTGGGTGACGCGCGACGGGCCTGGAACTGAGGTTGGGACTGTGGTTGGGAAATGTCGGGGCGGAGGCCCAGAGCGCGGGTTACCCGCCGAGCCGTGAGGTCGGGGTGCGACGTGCGAAGGTGGCGGGAGGATTGTCGATGCGAGGGTTGCGAGTGGTAACGGTGCTGACTGTGGTGCTACAGTGGTGTACGCGCTGAGCAGGGGCGCGAAGTAAGGAAAATGAATTTTCCTTACACTCTGTCACACTACACGTATACAACTCTGTTTTTGGAGAACAGTCTCGGTCCGACGACCTCGCCCTCCGGACCACCATCGTGTCGCCTTCGGGTTTCCCAACCCCGAACCTGCACCCAACCATCTCGCGACTTCTCGACCTCGGCCTAGCTAGCACTGCTAGTATATTAGTCCTATGCCTCATTATTTGCTCAGACTTAGTCATCACTTCCGCGTTATTGCATTCTGTGCACTCTTATCTTTTACAACTCATAAAAATTGCACGATCACAAAGTATGACGAAGGCATGAGCTAATATTTATGAGCGAAACATGCAAACGGTAACGCGGTGCGTGCGAGCTAGCTAGTGCGATGCTGGCAGCGAGGGTCGGGCTAGTCCCGAAGCGTAGGCCGACTTGGGTCAGGCCGCCGATGCATGGTTTGGCAAATGCAGCGCGCGAAATCTCCGTTAACTGTAACGGGCGAAGAACGGCTGGTCTTGTATGGGATGTTGAGCTGCGCAGTAAGGAATGTCGAAAAAAGTCCGTACACTAACCCCCCCCCCCCCCCCCTCCCCCCTCCTTCCCCCCCCCTCAAGAAGCCCCTCTGCTACGCGAGTGCGTGTATGTCGCGGAATACCCGGCTTCGCATGTACACTTGTAGGGCAGGGTGGTTTTCAATGTTGGCCAGGGGCACCCACTTGTCCTCTGTGGGGGTGCGGTCATTCCAACGAACGAGGAGTTCTAATCCTTTGAACTCTTGTGGGATGGCGAATTCGATGGCTCATAATATTTTCGGGGTCGATGATCGGCTCTGATGCAGGACGCAACATGGAGGGCGGTCGATGTCGTGGCAGTTGGCTCGTTGTTGGGATGTACGGTCGGAGGCTGACGTGGAACGCGGGCTGATGTACAAGTCGGCTGGTAACAGAAGATCGGCTAAAACGGGCGTAATCATGTGGCTTATCTAGAACGGGCCACGGTAGCGCTGGCAAATGTTTTGCACGATGGGCAGGCGTAAATTATGAGTTTCAAGCAGAATGTAGTCTCCTGACAGGTACGTGATAGGGCGGCGGTGGCGATCGGCGTTCCTCTTAGCAATAACATTCGCTTTTTAATTGCTTCTGTTGCGCGTGTTCGGGCAGCCTGCTGGATTTGAGCAGATTGTTGTGCTCATGGTGTCGAGTTGTCTGGACTCGACATCATGGGCATTGAAGGGTTCTGCCCATAGTTGAGGTAGACCGGCGACTTCTGTGTGGTTGCTGACGTGGCGTCGTTGTAAGCGAACTCGATCAACGAAAACTGTTGCTCCCAGGCTGCAAGGTCGTCACACATGGCTCGAATCAGCTGCTCCATGGTCTGGTTCGTTCTCTCGGTTTGTCCGTCAGTCTCGGGGTGATAGGACGAACTGAATTGTAGCTGGGTCCCGACTTGCCCCCAAAGTTTTATCCAGATTTTGCTAGTTAAATTCGTGTCTCTGTCGCTTATGATTGCGACGGGTATCTCGTGCAAGTGAATGGCGGTTGCGATGAACAGGCGAGTTGTTTCTTCCGCTGAGATCGATTTCTTGCACGCAGCAAAATGAGCCATCTTCGTCAACCGGTCAACAACGACCATGACCGCGTCGTTAGCACCAGTGCTCGTAGGTAACCCCATGACAAACTCCATTGTTACTTGCTGCCATGCACATTCGGGCGGCGGAATCGGCTGCAGTTGACCCACTTTCTTCTTGCGCGGAATCTTCATCACCTGACACATGGGGCACAATCCCACGTGGGGCTGTACGTCGGTCAACAGTTCCGGCGAGTTGTAATACCGCTGCAGTTGATGTCGCATTTTTCTACATTGAAGTGGCCCGAGGTAATCCTGTCTTGCGCCTCTTGCACTAGCAGTTCACGTAGCAGTGAGTATGCCGGTACCTGGATGCGGTTGGTGCCAGTTTTTACGTATTAAACTCCCTTAGCTTATGTCAGCTGCTGCGCATTGCCAGTGGTAAAAAATGGGTCGGTGTTGTAGCTGTGGGTAAATAGTCCGGTGAGTGGCGTGATCAATTGGGTGAGTAGGATGGTGTGCAGTTGGGCAGTGGGGCGGGTGAGGGCATCGGCGATATTCGATGCTCCTTTTTTGTCGTGGGTTGAGATTCGGTTGGGCGCGAATGAACTGTAATGAGCGATGGTCCTGTCAGAACTATGCATATTTGCTCTAGGCTGTAGTGGGGCACTCCTTATGGGGTACAGCCCAAATTAGGTTTTACCTATACAAACCTTGTACTGCTCTCATTCTAGTCATTCATTCCTTCACTATTTTGACATGGTATTCTGAGCAGGTTCCCTAGTGGGAACGTTTTTTATAGGGCCCACCACGATTACACCTTTTTTTTCTGCCCTGCCCGAAGCGCGCCTCGCGCCTGCCTCCCCTGCGTCGTCGCGCGCCCTGCCCTAGTGCCGCCCGTCGCGGCCCTGCCTTCTTGGCCAGTTACGGCCCTGCCCTAACGGCCCGTCGCGGCCCTAACCTAGCCGCCCGCCGCGGCCTCTGCCCTGTCGCTGCCTCGTCGCGGCCATGGCCTCGCCGCCTCGTCGCGGCCCTGCCCTGCCCTGCCGCCACCCGCGGCCCTGCCTTGCCGGCCGTCGCGGCCTGACCAAGCCGCCCGTCGCGGCCCTGCCCTGCCGCCCCTCGTCGCGGCCCCGACCTCGCCGCCCGTCGCGGCCTCTGCCCTGCCGCCACCCGTCGCGGCCCTGCCCTCAGCCGCTCGTCGTGGCCCTGCTCTACCGCCGCCCAGTCGCGGCCCTGCCCTACTACCGCCCTGTCGCGGCCCTGCTCTGCCGTCGCCTTGTCGCGGCCCTGCCCTACAGCCGCCCCAGTCGCGGCCCTGACCTAACCGCCAGCTGCGGCCCTGCCCTGCACCTGCCCCTGGTAAGCACCCGCGCCGCCCAGCTGAGCCGCGCCGCCCAGCCGAGCCGCGCCGCCCTGCCGAGCCGCGCCGCCCTGCCGAGCCGCACTGCCCTGCCCGTGCTGCTCCTGCTGCTACTGCTGCTACTGCTGCTGCTGCCACCATGGCTAGCCCTAATGTTCTTACCTTTGATGCTAAGGGTCGTGCGGTTGACTTTGACGTTTGGGTAGACGACCTACAGCTCTATCTTCAGTGCGACTCCAAGGAGGGAGTCTCCCTTTTCGATCACACGTCCGGTGTCTCCCCTGCACCTGCTGCCACTGCTGACCGTACGGTTCGCTCGCAGTGGACTACTCGTGACGCTGTTTCTCGCCTTGCTGTTCGTAATCACCTGCCGTCTGCTGAGCGCGCGCACTTTGGCCAGTACAAGACTGCTAAGTCTTTGTATGACGCTGTCGTAGCGCGCTACTCCTCCCCTGCCACTGCTGCCCTCAGCCGCCTCATGCTGCCGTACTTGTTCCCTGACCTGGCCGCCTTTGCCACAGTCGCTGACCTCATTACTCACCTCCGCACTAGTGACGCCCGCTACCGCGTTGCGCTTCCCACTGAGTTCTGTGCCAAGAACCCCCCCTCTATGTACATCACCCTCTACTACCTAGTCACCCGTCTCCCTGACTCCCTTTCTTCAGTCAGGGACCACTTTCTCTCCCTTTGCCCCACTGAGCTCACCGTCGACATGCTCGAGGAGCGCCTCACTGCAGCTGAGAAGAGTATTGTTGCTGTAGGTGCT